GCAATGAGCGTTCATGCTGAGGCCTGAAAAAATTGCTCCGGTTCTTCCTACCATCTCCAGATAGGGGAAATGAGGCTCAGTAAGGTGCCCCCGGCACCCACTCGTGAGGGTCTGTGCAGTAGAAGCTCGTAAGAGGTGCTGCGTCCAGGCTGCCAAACCCTAGCACCCATGCGCTTCTCACAGCAGCGCCCCTGGGCGGCGAGGCCGGCAGTGTGGCTGCCTGAGGGATACGCAGAAAGCGTGCTCTGGAAGGTCAGAGGAGTCTTCCGGACGCCAAGCGGATGCACCTTTCAGCCTGGGTCCTCCCTGACAGTTTTATAGCCCCCGACCCTGCCGACCCTGCCCACAGCACTGGCTTCCCCAGGGCTGCCCTTTCCTTTTCTCTGCGCTCCCTTTGTTGGCACGCGCTTGTCCCCTTCCTGGCCTCTCCCCTCTGTGCACCTCCTACACGCAGAGGGAAAACGTGAGAAGAGCAGAGGGACATTTGAGTGGATCACGGTGGATTATAGATCCGGGGAAAGGAGGGCATTCCACGTAGAGGGACCTACATGATCTGAAGAAAAGCAAGTCATTCTGTTTGGCTGGAACGCAGGGTCCATGAAACAGGAGGGTGCACCACTGGGGGGAGTGGAGGGAGTGGTCTGGGCCAGACGATGGTGCTTCCCACTCCTTTGGCCTCCGGCAGCAGTAGTCCAGACAAAGGAAAGAACCACAGGTGCAAAGCCCTTTGCGTGTTGAGGAACATAGAAGAGATCAGTGTAGTTGGAACTTGGTGAGCACCCCGCTTGGCATCGGGAAGATTCTTAATGATCTCAAGAGTGTTTCCGGGAGTTACCAAGACAGAGAGCCAAAATGCAAGGGTTCGGGACAAAGAGACTTGGTGAGAAAACAGAGGTAGCCGGTAAACATAAAAAGCCATCACTGCAGTGTGGGGATCATCTTAAGTCCCAATAACTTGCCCAAGGGAAAGTAAGAGGGGGGTGAAGATTCCAACCTGGTACCCCAGAGTTCAGAGCCTGTGCTCCTACCAGTACTACGCTTGGAAGCTTTAGCAGGAAGGAGGGAGAGGGTGTAAGAGGGAGAACATCCCTTGGTGGAGGAGGGCCTCTGTTCTATTCTGGTGCCGCCCCAACTATTCTATCTGCTGGTGGGTTTTCTGGGGACACATTTATATTCTAAGTCGGTGCCTTTGGACTTTTACCATAAATATATTCTCTCTCAAATCATCTGTAAAGTTAGACTTTACTCAAGCCTGGCCAACCCACTAGCAAAAGGAAAGGTGCTCTTTTATTTAACAATGAAAAAATGGGGTTTGAATAAATGGAGGAGTGGAGAAAGCAATTTCATGCACAGCACTGTATTCGCCAGGGTAGATCATTTCTCACTTTTCCCCCTTGTGCTCAGGGCTAAGCCTGGTGCCCACTTCGTCCTTTGGAAGGCACGCCTTCGTATTTTCTGTGGTGTGGCTGTTGGGAGGTGAATTTCTCCCTGGCGCCTCTCTCCACTTGTATCGGTTGTTTATCCGGCTCATCATTTCTCTGTGTCTTCAGCATCCGACAGCAGGTGCAGCGCCACAGTGCCCGCCACTGCCATTACCCTTTGCGGCAGAGACAGGGATTTCCCCAGCCACGACCAGGAACAACTTTTCCCTTAGTCACAAGTCACCGTCTCTTCATACCATCATGTTACAGGATGATTTGAAGCTTTTCCTAGTGATCATTTCCCTCCACCCACTTCGTGATGTGACAGCTTTATTTCCAGAATCTACCTTGGGCCAAAACTCACATTTTCCCCCAAAGTACCATTGGGTTTTTATTGAATACGTTTCCTTCTTTGTTAAGCAAGGCAGTTAGCTGGCAAGACAATCTCTAGGCAGCTAATTCGTTTTTCACTTGACAGTTTCAAGATATGAGTTGTTTTTATTGCTTTCTTTAGTCCGTCAAATACAAAGGTATCCCTGGAAAGAGAGAGAGAATGGGAGGGGGGAGGTTCAGTCTGTCTTTGTGCTGCAAAGAGGGTGGAAGTGTGTGGATACCAACCCCTCCATACCTCTGACTGCCCTCCTACCTGAGTGCAGACCGCTGACATTCCCAAAAATGATGTGACACTGCCCTCTAGAAGGCAGTGCTGAGAACTCCGTTCGCTCCCCAGAGATGGAAGTCAGGATAAACGTAATGGCATTCTTGCCTATAAAATATTTATACCCCTATTTTAAAAGTAATCTCATTTAACCTGGTGTTGACACCACATCGGTTCATGTAAATGATTTAAATTAACTCTGAATGGCAAAGAGCAACCCAGACACTTCATCCCGGGTTCACTCTTCTCTTAGGCTTCACTTTGAGGAGGGAACAGCTACTTTCGGCTGTCAGCTATTTGGAAGCTCATTTACCACGGGTTAAGGGTTTTGAATCCATAATGTAAATCACTTGATTGACAGAGGGACCTTTGCCCTCAGTGGCACAATCAATTCTCTACTGTGAAGCTAAATTATTTTCTCTGAGCAAATGAAAGAGCTCCAAGAAGTGAACTCTGGGGGTGGCAGGGCTAGAAATACACACAAGGTAACTATTGTCATTTCTGCTTGTTCTCTGGCTGTCCACGAAGACAAAGGAGTTGATGACCCGGGAGAAGTGACCTGCTTTGCAGGCAGTAATAAAGGCAGCAACTCTGAAGTTCAGTCCCTGAGCTCCTTCCAGTCGGATTCTGGTGACGACAATGGTAAGTAGTCATAGATGTGTCCCCCTGGGTGGCTTCTGCCTTCTGTGCTGGTACTCAATGGTTGAGAGGAAGGGGAGGTGGCCAGTGTTGTTTCCTGACCTGATCATGGGTGTTAGAGCATGTTAACCAGCTTTCTAGTTGGCTTCATTGTTGGGTGTCATTGCTGAAGGAGCATCTATTGAGCTGCAGCTGTCAGCAGGCCTGGGGATCTGCATCAAAGATTGTCGGGGTTCCCCTGGACCTCCAGTAATGTGTCCTCTTTGATTTGGTTCATGATGGAACTGCCTCATCCCAAATGATACTCTAGCAAACAGTGTAGTTTTTTTTTAAAATATTACTGATTATCTCTTCACTCTTATATCCAACCTCCACATCATTAGAAATTAATTCAGAGGCAAGATCTCCTCCCATAGACCCCCTTCCCATGGAAGTGACATGTTCATTCAGTTTAATAACCCTTATGATCTCTTGGGGTCATGGACCTTTGGAGAATCTATTGAATACTATAGATCAGCTCCTTAGAAAAATGCACATACACCCAAAATGTTACATGCAATTCCACGTGGTTCATGTTCCTCATTGACACTCCAGAGTTGCTACCTCTACCTCTTGTGAACTTATGTTAAAGAAGAGGTTGCTGGACTGGGTTTCCAGAGCCGAGGACCCAGTTTGGAGGATGGGTTGGTCTCCTCTGAGCAGGGGAGGGTGATAGAAATGGTGATAAGACAAGCAAGAGTGGTGAACCAAGAATAATTTAAAATAGTCAACCACAGAGATAGCCTTATCTTATGTAATTTTCCCATTTATAAGCAATTAGCAAAAATTGAATATTTGTTAATTTATGTAATCATTCAATCCATGAATCCTTGTTGAGCTGCATGCTGAAACCTGTGCCGGACATAGTACCGAGAAGTACAAAATGAAAACAACATTGCCTTTGCCCCCCAGGTAAACATGGGAACAGATGAGCTCAAAGGCCATAATAGTCATGGAAGTAAAATAGTCCAGTTTCACGGCCACTACCCCCAAATCACTTCCACCCTGATACCTGGCACTCCTGGGAGGTGCAGAAGCCTCCATGTATCTGACTGCTGGGATAACAAACCATATAACAATGCATTTCTTCTGACCATTTTCAGAAGATCCAGGGCATGCCTCCAGGTTCGTTTGCCTGGGTGCTCTCTCCTTTTCTCATCCCCAACCAGAAGAAAAGCTGTCATTGGTTTGTGTTTTGCAGAGAAGCAACTGAGAGCAGATAGTTTTCAAATTCCAGGGAGCAGCCCTGGCAATGATGCCGGGCTGATCACTCTCATGGGCTCTGCTCTATATGCCCCAAAGTCACACACTCAGCCTTCCATGCTAAACATCCCGGATTGGTCCTGACTAAAGCAGGCAGTATTAGGAATTTGCAGCCAATTAGTTTTAACAAGCTGCTGCTATCAGGTGCTGTGTCCATTCATAGAGAATACAGAAAATGCCCTCCCTGACTCTAAGTATATCAGAGCCCAAATGCTGACGTCTGTCTACACTTTACTGGTGAAAGCTGGGCCTTCGGTCATTCTAGGTTGTGGTGGCATCGTGTGGTGTGGAGCCACCAGTCCTGCAAAGGTTATCCTACACCATGGCATTTGGTTCCTGGCAGCATGGCTGACCAACAAAGAATTCTCTCCAGGAATAGCGAGGTCTTCTGCAGAGCCTGTGGGAGTTTCTAATGAGAAATTAGCATGAGCTTGATGAGCCATTGCCTTCCTAGATTGATTTCACTGGGCCATGAAGTGTGAATTTATGACCCAGCAATCCCTGCTGATCATGCCTTTCAGGAGGACTGGCCCCGGATCTGTGCCGTTTCCTCTCTGTTCCCAGAATCCTGGGACCCTAGGAAAGAGCATCCGCTGGATCACTGCCCAGTGGAGGGACTGTGGGAAGGCTCTGGGCGTTTGCATGCTGCAGCCTTTGTTGTTGCTGTTGTTGTTGTTAAGAAAAGTTAACGTATGTTTAAAATACACAACTAACCTGAAGCTGTCCTTCCTCTCCCTCCTGTCTTCTTTTCCTGGCCACAAGCATCCATAGTGACTGTCATTCAACTTGTCAACAATGTAGTTGACACTATAGAGAATGAAGGTATTTACTTTTTTCTTCCATAGCGTTTCTTCATGTAAAGAGTTGTCCTTTTGGAAATACGGCCCCCTTGTTCCTTTGAACTAGGGGTGATTTTAATCAGTGGGCCACAGAGAGGGCAGTAAACAGGTGGTTTCAAAGGAGACATTGGATGTTTCTCTGGATAGTAGGGTGAATTTTACAATTTGGGGGGGGAAATCTAGTTTATAATTTTTTTCAAATGTGTAGGATGCTCTTTTTATAAAATTTCTCCCAAGAGAAGAGTACCCAAATATTTGGAATCAAGATTAATACAAAATTCATTCCTACATGCAACATATATTCATTGAGCACCTACTATGAATACTTAAGAAATCATTCAAACAACAATATGATAGGGATCTATTTCAATCAGGTAACTTCTATTAGTGACATCATACTTAGATGGGACGTATCTTTTTATTTCCTAAATAACAATGGGGAGAAATAGCAGCATGTTTTTTAAGTCATCTGAAATGTTCTCCTTTGCCCTCTTCACGTGGCTTGGATTGTCAGTTTTACTTCTTACTTTGTGTTTAAACAGTGTCTGTCATGGATCAAGGACAGAACTACAACCGAGGTGACTGCTACGGCCCTGGCATAACGTTTTTCTTACGTGCTCTGAATTGCTGAGTTCGTTCTTACCCTGCCCCTCTCCCTCCTTTTTTCTCTGAGTTTCTTTGGTCTGAATTTTGCATGTTCCAGGTGTCTTGTGAGCTTGGCATTGGAGCTGAAAGCCCTGCCCACCCCC